TTTGGAAGCATTGATAAACTGATTTGTGTATTTGCTTTGTAAAACTGGCAGTGAAACCAAATATCCACTGATAAACTGAATTTGAATAAATTGTTAAACTGCTAAACTGAATTTGAATAAACTGAATAAACCAAATATCCAATGAAACCAAATATCCATTGATAAACTGATAAACTGAATTTGAATAAACTGCTAAACTGATAAACTGAATTTGAATAAACTGAATAAACCAAATATCCAGTGAAACCAAATATCCATTGATAAACTCAAATATCCATTTGCTCCCTACAAATAAACTGATAAACCAAATATCCATTGATAAACCAAACACCAATTATGGAAGCATATACATGTTGCTCCCTATAGATACAACAATTGAAAGATAAGAAATTAATAGTACAATAAGGGCAACTGCAACCAACATCATCATGGATCTACATTTTGTATTCCTACGATTATTCTTAATTTGAATGTCTTTCCATTTGCTCAACTTGCATTTTAAATATGCGTTTTCTTCTTCACTTTTGTTAACTTTCTTCAATAAGCCCGGTATAATCTTCTTTGACCTAGGGCACATTGGGGGATCGAACCAAGCCACGAATCCATCCTGATAAATTTGCACAAATTAAAACACCAATATAAGTAATTCAATTTCACATTTCTGAATCATCAAACTCAAAAAAAAAAAAAAAAAACTTATTTATCAGCATGGATAATGATTACATCTTAAAATTAAAAAAAAAAAAAAAAACAAATTTATCCAAACAAATTTAAAAATTTGCATCTAACATTGCATCCTAAACATTCCCAGTACCTCCTTCCCGGGTTCTCATTGGTCCAAGATGTTCTCAAAACCATTTCTTGCCCACATTCACAAACTTGAATCGAAATCCATTCACCATATACCTTTCACCTTGTAGTTGATGAACTGGAAGAGTTACAGCTTCCTCCTTGCATTTTCCTTCGACCAGATTTGCCTGTTTAGAGAGAGTGTTGCTTCGACCAGGATTGCTTCTTCAATCTGCTTCTTCGCTCGTCAATCTTGAATGAAGAACAGAACCACATTGCCGTATTAAAATGGAGGACGTAAGCTGAAAAGACGAATGTACCCCCTATCTAACGGGCCATCTAACAGAAATTTAGACGGATGACCAAAATTGTCCTCGTCATAATAAGAGTGTCCACAAATTGTTTGATTTTTTTAAAAAGGACTAAAATTGTCCGTGCCACTATAAGTCTAGGACCAAAAATGTCTTTTACTCAAATAAGTATTTTAAAGTATATCAATGCAATATTATATCTGAGATGTTCATGCATAGGTAAATAAATTAAATGTTGAATTTATTTATTTAAATCGGTAATTAAAATATATAAATGCAAGATAATATATGAAAGATTGATTATATTTTCACTAAAATAAATATTTACAACTTTGTAATAACGCTAGTCTAAATACTTAGTCTAAAAATAATAGTCTAAATAAATACTACTTTTGGTTTAAATTTCTCTAATTCTACTTTTGGTTTGAATACTACTTTTGATTTAAACAATAGTCTTCATCTTTCGTACATGTCTTTTTTTTTTTTTTTTTTTAATTTTTTTTATTGGTAGTGTGTCATGTGCAATTGGGTTACTGATGGTATAACATAGATGGATTCGCCGTGCAATGATATTATGGTGTAGGAAGCTTTAGATTTGCCTTGTTGTGTATATGATGGGATCTTAGTTGTACTATTAACTCTTTATCTTACAAACACCTATTGATATTTGGTAGTTGTAGTTTTCCCCTACATGTTTTATGCGTTGTGAGATGTGTGTCGTAGGTTATCATGTGAAAGTATTAATGCACAAAATATTAATATTTATTATATTTGTATAAAATACTTGGTAAATAAATAATATAACATATTTTGTATTACGGAGTATAATTTTGATATTTAATTACAAGATAATGTAAAAAGAAGACAATGGACAATATAGTAATATAATAAATTAATAAATTTGAAGGTAATGAATATGTGAATTATAGAAAATAAAGATAATATAAATAATGAAATTATATCTCTTTTAAATTTTTTTTATAATGAATAATTTTTTATATAAAGGCATTATAGACATCTAATTCTAAATTAATTAAATGCATATGTATTATTTTTTGTTGTAGCTACTAATTTATTTAATTTAATAAGAATAATAAATTGACGTACATACTTTTCATCAACAATAATGAAATCATTGATTTTTTTTTTAATTTACATTCGTTGTTGAGATAAATTGTTTTGAAAGTTTGTCAATGACAATTGTTACAATTATTGTCAATAGAGGATGATAATAAATAATTCAAAATATATAGTTACAATAGATATTGTTATAATGATATAGTAAAATTTAACTTACAAATTTCTTTTGAAGTTTTCATGCATTGATAAAATTATGATGTGTAGACTTGTTCAATTGGAGCCAGTAGGATGTCAAAATTGTCAATTCTTTGGAAAAAGGTCCTACCGTTTTAGAGTCCAGGTGTAATTGTATTTATGATCAACAACTTTGTACGTGCATGTCTGACAATGATGTAAGAACAATTTTGTTTGATAAAAAAATAATAGTACAATATTTGTAAAGTAACGTACAATTGTACCATTATAAAAATACATACAAAAAATATTAATACCATAACGACCTAAATCATACCAATAATGCAAAAATATAATTAAAATATTAAGTTTTGTTCTGATCTAAATAATCAAAAGAAGATTAATTAAACGAAAAAAAAAACTTAACCTAATTTTTTTTTAAATGCATAAAGATCAAATGATTTTTAAAATTCTTGATTTATAATCTTTGATGCTTAACTTTGAATGTTATGTATTTAGTCGGACTAATTATTTGACCAAAGTTTATGTTAAATTTTATATTATATATTTTTTAATATATTTTAACATATTCGTAGTATATGTTTAACAATTATTCTAACTCTAATTGTGATGGGGTTCGAACCTAAGACATTTCTTATATAAATTAATGAGTAAGTTAAAAATAATAAATAGTTAACGGAATATTCCGTTACTAAAGTTTATACTAACGGAATTTAGGTTATTTAAGGAAAAAAAATAATATAATAAAGGGTAAATAAGGAAAATCATTAAAAAAAATACTAAAATAAAACTAATATGAATCATTCATTTTAAGAAATAATAGTACTGACATTTTTTTATTCCAGTTAAGGGCCTAACATTATTGGCTCTTATTAGAATGATGATGATGATGATGATGATGAGGAGGAGATGATGATGATGATGATGATAGATTTATTACCATTTTAAAATTAACCAATCAATAAAATTAATATTTTAATAATTTTTTTTCACGACTAAATAATGAAATTAATTTTTTAATATGTAATTTAAATTTCATTATTTGTCAAAATTGATGGAATCGGTGGAATCGTAGAAAAGCTGCCTGCCAAATGCCAACTAGCAAAAATTGGCATTTCCTAACCAGTACCACTCAGCCCATACCCCCCGGGGGTTCACGTGCATCACTTTTCGTGTCTTTCTTTGTCTGCACTTTTCACTGCTCTCTCTACAGACTACAGACTACACTCATTTCATGATCAGAGATTTTTATAATAATAATAATAATAAAATTTATCAGATATATATAATGATAATGTTGTCATCGAATTTAGATATTTTATATACACAATATAATATTGGATGAGTATACAATATCATTGCTTTTACCATCTACAAAATTTTCTAATATATTATTATAATATATACTACAGTGTAAACACTGTCCTATAAGGCTATAACATATATTATTTTAAAAAAAAAATATTATTGTAACCTCAATTATTAGCAATTAGATAATTTAATCATACTAAAAACAAAAACACTACTTAGACTTAAAAACCTACTTCTACATTTTACTCACATTAAGTGTTAAAATTTTATTGGAAGAAAAAACAAATGGATAAAAATCATCAATCCTATTGTTATTAAACAATAAAAGAATGTCACATCATAGAGAGTAAAAAATAGAAGTAAATGTAGTAAAAATAATTCTACATATATGCCAAATGAATATTCCGTACTCAATTATTGTGTTAACTCACAGACGTAATAATATGATATTCCCACGTTTCCACGAAGGACCAATATGACAATGACTCAAGAGAATCAGTTGATAACAATTAACTAGGATGATAATTATGAAACGCCATAGTGATTGTAGGCTAAAATAAAATTTGGTCATCGTTTTAAACACTATTTATTTCTAATAAATGGAAGTGAATGGTAATTAAGATTATTAGGAAAATTTTTCCAATCTAGTGATTGATAATTAAGGGTAATTAAAGGTATGAGTGGTTGGATCTACCTCGATCAAATAATAAAATCAATTATCTAAGACCTTGTGGTCCAATGATATCAAGGTATTCCCCTATGTGGGAGATGTTGGGTTGGAGCTTTGGTTGAGGCAATTATACTGAATTGTATATGTGGATATCCCCTTCCTTTATAATAAAAATAATGAAACCAATTTTAAGTAAAATATATTTGAATACTTTGGGCAAAAGTTTAATTAATTAATCGAGTTTAATTAAAAAATATATTTTACCCAATAGTTATTGCGTGGACCAGTTGTGTGGATTATAGTCCAAAAATCACATCGTTTTGATTTACTTTTATTTTTTCATGCGTCCAACTACAACATTTTTTTTTTATAACTCATAAGGTACATTATTGTAAAATATAATGTACATTATATTATCCCAGATGCTTCATTATTTTAACACGTAATGTAGATTATTCTAACACATAATGTACATCATTCTAACACATAATTTATATTATTCTAATACATAATGTACATTATTTTTACTCATACCATTCTAGACAATGTTTTTTTACCGTGGTCCACACAGCTGTATGAACCACACTCCACCAGCCTTATTTACCGGCCTCTATAAATAAAAATATCGATCTATCCATTGCATCATGCTTCAATTCCCGGCCATTCATCATATAAGAAAATTAAACAGATCAGAAGAAAATGAAGAGTTTCTTGATAAGGATAATCCCATTATTATTTGTTGCCGTGCTTTTCATTTCCTCAGTCACTACTGCCAATCATATTCATGGCTGCGGACACTGCAAACAACACTCCACTACTACTACTACTCACAATAAGCATCACAAACACAAGAAGCCCAGTCCTCCTCCGGTGCCGATTGTTAAGCCGCCCTGTCCTCCACCGCCGCCGCCGCCGCCGTCGTGCCCAGTGGACACTCTAAAGCTAGGGGCGTGTGTGGATCTCCTGGGTGGGCTGGTCCACATTGGGCTGGGAGACCCGGTTGTGAACCAGTGTTGCCCGTTACTCAAAGGGCTTGTGGAGGTTGAAGCTGCGGCGTGTTTGTGTACAACGTTGAAGATAAAGGCTCTCAACCTCAATATCTATGTTCCAATTGCACTTCAACTTCTCGTCACTTGTGGCAAGCCACCACCACCTGGCTACACTTGTTCTATTTAGACCTACCTACCTAAGTACTATACATCTCTCATCTCTCAATTAACTTCACTTCTAACCTTAGCTTGCTTAAATTATATTATTACTCCAAACTTATGGTGTGTTTGGTTCATGTTTTTAGGGCAAATTATGCTGTGCAACCGTGTGCATCATGCATGGTACACACAGAATTGGATCCATAATTTCTATACTACTATAGATTCATAATTTCTATAGTATAGATTCATAATTATTGAACTCTATATTCACAATTACAAAACTCTATATTCATATTTTCAATGTTTATATTCTCAATTGTTGAATTCTGTATTCACAAATCACTGAATTATATGTTCATAATTTGATAGCTATACAGTTTAGAAATTATTAATCTATAGTATATAAATTATAAATCTATAGTATAGAAATTATGAATCTACAGTTTAAAAATTATGGATCCAATTTCGTATGCACATTGCATGGTGCACACGGTTGCACAACATAACGCTCCTGGGTTTAGACAGTAGGAATGAAAATCAAAATCATAGTTAGTGTTTGGTTGACGATTTTTTCAAATACAACTATGAGATTTGATTATCCCTTCAATTAAATTTTTTTTTCCCTAATTAAAAAATGCATCATTTCATCTTATTGGTAATATGATTTTTAAGTTTATATTAGTGTTTTTAGATTTTTGTTTTGATTTTTTTTGTTCATATTGGTGCTTTGGATGTAATTATATTAGGATAAATTGCCTTGATTTTTTGTTTTTGTATTTTTAAAACTTTTATTCCCATTATAGGGTCATATATAACCAAACACCAATATTAGTAATCATTTCAATTTCACCATATTATCAAATATGCAAAATACTTTCACAAAAACATATACTATCACCAAGTATTTGATTCTCATTTCAGTTCCTATTTCCATGTGCGAACCAAACACACCCTTATTTCTACCTCAGCTCCGCCTTTAATTTCAACCACACAGTTTATTTCTTTTTCATTAATTCCATCTGTAGTTAACATTTGTGATTTTGTTTACGTGGTTGCAGGTTCAGAGCTTTAGATTAACGGATTTATGTGAGTTTCTTTTGGGATTATTCAACTTGTGACATTTTATATTTAATACATTTTGTATAAATAATTTGTTGAGAAATCCAAGATGCATGGCTAGCTTCTTTGGAGTGACTTTTTTGAAGTTAATTTAACAAGTTTGTTTTGTATTTGGATGGCTGGAGCCTAGCTGCAAATAAGGATGAAATTTTAAATTCTTCTTTGAAATAATAAATTATGGTTGTAATTTAAATGTATGTAAATTCTAATTAAATTATTTTCGGTATATATTTAGTTTATAATGATAGAGCTAGTCTCATTTCAATATAACATGCACTAAACTAAAGATAAATTTATCACCATATATTAAATATCTAATAATTACTATTTTTTTTGAAAGCAAACATAATCAATATATTAATAACTCAAAGTAGGTAAAATGTTTGGTGGTTCATCAGTCCACTCTGAGTGAGATAACAAAGTCCCATTAGCTTTAGCAAGGGAGTGAGCCATTTGATATTTTTCTCTAGAAATGTACTGGACCTTACAATCAAATATAGAAGAGACAAGGCACCGATAGTCATGAGTTATAGTGCCAAGATAAGAACGTTCGGAACCTACATTAAACATACTAGAGCAAAAATTAAAGCAATATGATTCTACTAAAATATTTGACAGATTATGCTGTTTGATCCATGTAAGAGCCTCCCGAATTGCCATTGCTTCCGTCGTCATAGGATCTGAATGCACCGTAGTTAATGTGGCCCAACATAATAAAGATCCATCAAGAGTACCAATTGGGCCAATCACAAGGTTCAAGTCCAAACAATTAAGACAACCCTTCATTGGTTATATTCAAAGATGGTGGAAATTCAAGTTAAGCCCATTTGCAAAAGATGAAGAAGAACTCAAAGGATTTTTATAATTGTTCAAGTGCTGATTTTGGAGATTAAGTTAGGCCCAAATCAGCCATATTATTTTTGGTCATCATTATTTTAAATTGTTTGGCATGAAAGAGAAAACACTAGTTTGTATTTAGAAATGATTCTTTAAACCCCTTTCTAAATGAGACTATATTTACTTGCTTTCTATATTAGGTTTAGGACTCCACTAGATTGTATTTAGAAATGATTCCTTAAATCCCTTTCTAAATAGGATTATATTTAATTGCTTTCTAGGTTTGGTTTAGGATTCTTTTTCCCATTGTATTTAGGATTACAATGCTGCCCCTATACCTATAAATAGGGCACACCCGTAGCAGTTTCAATAAGGCTTTCAATCAATAAAATTCTTAAGTTTTTCTTTACACTTGTGTAAGAAAACTTATGGCTAAGTGTAGACTCAATTAGTGGCTAGTTCATGGACTCGACTAGCAAATTGATTCGTGGACTCGAATCATTCATCCTTTCTACAACATTAGATTTAGCTTCGTGGACTCGTTCTTGAATCAAAGGAAACTAGATCTGACTCTAGTTGATTGAAGATTGCATCATCAAGGTACTTGAAGCTACAATGGGATTCTTCTAAATCTTTGAAGATTCAGGACTAAGGATTTCCCGTGAGGTCTAAGGTATTTCGATCCATCTCTATCCTTGCACTGAGAACAATATTGGGACAATACTCTATTTTATTTAAACTTACAACTAGGTTCATATCCATTTGGTATTTAGTGCCTAGGGTTTGTTTATTGTCATTGCAAATTTGGTTCCCTGGGATATATATATATATATATATATATATATATATATATATATATATATATATATATATAGAATCGCACTCAGGTGCGAATGCTTCGCCCAGGCGCGAAATAGGAATGAATTCTGTTCGTCCACGTGTCCAGATCTAATGGATGAGAAACACTGATTTTTTTAAAAAAACGCGGTGGCATTTTCGTAAATAATTGAACATCGAAGTGCAAGTAAAATGTATTACAAGTGCATGTAAAATGTATTATAGGTGCAAGTAAAAATTTACACTGAGCATCAATACTTAGTTGCACCAATAGTTCTAAGTAGTTGCACCTGTAGTTCTAAGTAGTTACACATATAGTTATAAGTAGTTGCACATATAGTTATAAGTAGTTGCACCTAGGTGTATGAATGTTTGCGAGTGGTTTTCAGGGGCATTACTACCCGCTGAACTCAGATCAATGAATGTTAACAAGGCAAAATTACATGCACTTATAGGTGATAGTAGGTGCATATATAGTTATAAATAGTTGCACCTATAGTTATAAATAGTTGCACATATAGTTATAAGCACACCCAGGTGCATGAATGTTTGCGGAAAGTGAATGCTAACAAGGCAAAATTACATGCACTTATAGGTGAAAGTAGGTGCACCTATAGTTATAAGTAGTTGCACCGATAGTTATAAATAGTTGCACATATAGGTATAAGCACACCCAGGTGCATGAATGTTTGCGGAAAGTGAATGCTAACAAGGCAAAATTACATGCACTTATAGGTGAAAGTAGGTGCACTTGTAAGTGATTTTACTTGCACTTCGATGTTCAATTATTTACGAAAATGCCACCGCATTTTTTTTTTAGTTATTAGATCTGGACACGTGTCGCGCGCTGATTCGTTCGCATTTCCCTCTTGAGCACTTATTCGCACCTGAGTGCATCCCTATATATATATATATATATATATATATATATATATATATATATATATATATATATATATATATATATATATATATATATATATATATATATATATATATATATATATATATATACATAGGTTCCCGTGCGGTTGTACGGATGATTAATGTGCGTGAGATTTGTACTCAATGTGCGTGAGTATTGTTCTTAATGTGCCTGAGATTTGTACTTAATGTGCGTGAGTATTGTTCTTAATGTGCCTGAGATTTGTACTTAATGTGCGTGAATGTGTAAAATGCAACAGAAAATATAGATGTCAGCTTCTTCTCCATCCCCAGTAGCCATTGCCCCTTCCCTGATGATGATGATGCGGAGGCGGCTATGGTGGTTAAGAATTATGGGAATAATACAACAGAAATCCACACTTAGTTGGCGTGCAAATTTTGCTGTGCGTGCGTCATCTATATAAACATTCAACTGCACTGAAGGTAGCTGATAATCCAGAATGGTCAAATTGAAGGAAGAAGTAACAAAAAGCTTGAGCGTTAATGTGCGTGAGTTTTCTGTTCTGCTTCCTTCTGAGCTCGTAATTCTAAACTACTCACGCACATTAAGCACAAATCTCACGCACATTAAGCACAATACTCAGGCACATTAAGTACAAAATTCACGCATATTAACGTTACGCACATTAAGTACAAATCTCACGCACATTGAGTACAAATCTCACGCACATTAAGTATAAACCTCACGCACATTAATCCACCGCACAACCGCACGGGAAGCCACAAATGCACTTGATCCCTATATATATATATATATATATATATATATATATATATATATATAGGCAAGATCAGATGCGGCTATGCGTTTAGGTGAGGCGGTGAGGTTATATCCTAGCCGTTGATCAATTCTAATCTAATGCACCATACTTGTTACTGATTGCGCGCTACACTTATACATCACCGCGGCATAGGAGGGCAAATTTGTCCATTAATTCAATTCAAAATCATCTCTTCTCCACTTCTGCAAGTAACACCCGTCCCATCTACATATTCACAATCCCAAAGTGCGAAACCTCTCCAACTTACTCCCGCTCCGGCGACGAAGGCTAGACGAACGACTGCAACGACGAACAGCGAAAAGGCTAGAGTCGAACGCACCACAGCGTTCTGAGAGGAACACGAAGCCTATACTACAACACCGCTCCACTACAAAACACAAAAATGGTGAACAAAGGCAAACAACGAGCATGCAAGGGTGTATTTCGTTTATTATTAGTGTATTCTGGAATATTTAACTTGAATGTGTAAAATAACATCTTTACCCTACCATCGGTGTATTTTTTTGAGCATTTCAGACTAGGGCACCTCATTGCATGTTCTTTGTGCATTATGAACATTAATGTAGTGTATAATTCATTTATTATTGGTGTTTTTTTGGAATTTGTAACATGAATATTGGAGAAAAATCTGTTGTGTGTTTAATTTTTGTACACAGTGCATGTTTATCATACCGTCGGTGTATTTCTGAGTATTTCATGCTAGGTCATCTCATTGCGTGTTGTTTGTTTATGATAAACATGAATGTGGTGTATATTTCGTTTATTATTGGTGTTTTCTGAAATTTGGAACTCGAATATTGGGGAAAAACTTGTTGTGAGTTTAATTTTTGTACACAGTGCATGTTTATCATACAGTCGGTGTATTTTTGAGCATTACAGGCTAGGGCATCTCATTGCGTGTTGTTTGTTTATGATGAACATCAATGTAGTGTATATATCGTTTACTATTGGTGTTTTCTGAAATTTGAACTTGAATATTGGTAAAAAAAAAAAAAGGTTGTGTGTTTAATTTTTACGCATAGTATATGTTTATCCTACCATCTGTGTATTTTTGAACATTTCAGACTAGTGCACCTCATTGCATGTTGATTTTTTTACAGGATCAACATGAGTGTATTCTATATTTCTTTTGTTATTGGTGTTTTGGAATTTGTAATTTGTAAACAGCGCATATTTAGAATAATTTCAATTATTTCATGCAGACAACAAAAGAAAGGCATTAGAACAAGGAGACTCGTCAATGCCAAAACAGCAGAGAAAGCAGGACGCAATGTCATTCGTTGAGAGAATGGAAGATGATACAGAAACGGATGAAGAAGTGCATGAACAAGAAGTTGATGATAGCTCAGATGATGAGATAGACACATTGGAGCAAGAGAATGAAGAGACTGACCTAAATATAAGGCCTCTGCCAACACAGCTAACAAAACCCATTGACGCCCTAACCAATCAACAACGCCAAAGTATAAAAGACATTGGGCTGGGAAGGATTCTTGACCTCAAAATCACAAACCTTCCAAGGAAATTGGGATGTGGCTGGTTGAAAACTATGACGCAAGGAGCAACACATTGAATCTGCAAAATGGCCAAACACTACAGATCACAGAAGAAGATGTTGTTGTGACATTGGGACTACCGCTTGGAGACATAGAAATCACTAAGAGGGAAAGTAAAGCAGTATATGATCTACTGACAGACTGGAGAAAAATCTTTGGAAGGGCTGATGGCCACATCACCCCACACAAAATGTCTAAAAAAATGCTGACATTGAGAG